CCACCACCGAGAGAGCTTGGACCTGTTATATATCCACTCAAAGATGAATCCGTCAAAGCGGAGCTCCCTCAGCTTGGGGCAGGCTGAGGCGAGGGCGGCCATGTCTACGAGCCTCCGCTGACCGGGGAGAACCAGCGTGCTCTTCTCGTGCATCCGGATATCCAGTTCCTCCAGGTTAGGGCAGCTCGCCTGGGGAGACCGCGCCAGACTGGTCAGTCTTACAACACGCTACATGCCACACGCTACACACTACAGGTTACACACTACACGCTTCATGCCACACACTACACGCTACACACTTCATGCCACACACTACACACTACACGCTACAGGTTACACACTACACACTTCACACATGGCCAGTCAGAGCCTTACAACACGCTACATGCCACACGCCAGACCGGTCAGTCTTACAACACGCTACATGCCACACGCCAGACCGGTCAGTCTTACAACACGCTACATGCCACACAATACACACTACAGGTTACACACTCCACGCTACATGCCACACACTACACGCTACAGGTTACACACTACACACTACAAGTTACACACTACACACTACAGGTTACACACTACACACAAGACCATATGGCGCTCATATGACCCTATGCAGTTGCGAGCGCCGTAAAACCTCTACATTAACTAAAACAACAATTATAATAAGAAGAAAAAACATTTGTACACCACTGCCCCCACTCCAAAGCAAGCTGTATGGACTTTACACTATATTACAACACTCAAACTCAAACACAAACACAAACAAAGCCCACCTGGAGGGCATGCAGGAGTTCAGCGACAAACTTCCTCACAGACAGGACGCGAGTCGCACGCAGCTCCACCAGTCTCTCCCCGCACCTCTTCACCAACGTCTCCAGGGCCGGGAAGCTCAAGGCCGCCTGTCGTAGAGAGGCGTGGTCTGAGTGGTGTGTTTCTTACAGCAGCAGTAGCTTCTATAGGGGTTGTACAATATAGGTGTGGTCTGAGTGGTGTGCTTCTTACAGCAGCAGTAGCTTCTATAGGGGTTGTACAATATAGGTGTGGTCTGAGTGGTGTGTTTCTTACAGCAGCAGTAGCTTCTATAGGGGTTGTACAATATAGGTGT